ACATTTTCATAGAAAAATAATAGTAAATTTTTGTCTACAAGTAATTTGTCCATCAAACATGTGCAGTAAAATTTGAAACATATAAAGTGAAGTAGTGCAATATTTTTATGATCGAAGCACATCGGCCGTGCACAAGAAGAGCATTACATGAATATTTTTGCGTGGTAGCTCTCAGGTTTCTCTCTGCTTATACTCTCTTAGCACTTTTTTCACAAAAAAAATAACACTTTTAATTTTTCAGCAAATACGACGCCTTTGTCACACCTGGGTCACGGTGACCCAAACCCTACCTTCCAACGGCTCCCGAAAAGATTGTAGTAAAGACTTGAAATTAATTTAAGATAGCGCCACAAGTTCCATTTTCAAGCGCACTGAAAAGATATCTTACGTTTAAGTCATCAAGTCCGGTTCATCTAATACTGTGTGACAACCTAGGATTAAGATTAAAATATTCCTTTCTCTATAGTAAATGCAATTGGCGCTATATCGATCCTATTTTATGACACATTCAAGTGTAATAGCATTGGATCCGGAAATGTTTTCTGTGGATGCGGTCACTACCGCGGGGCAATTTCCAGTTTTGCGCAGTTAACCAACTATTAACATCCCGAGTGGAAATTTTGGTACTATTTTGACACTTTTAAGGATAATTTACACCTACATAGACCAGCAACAACCTACTTTGATGACATTATATTTTTTTACTCCTCCCTTGAATATTTCTTCTTCTTCTTCCTCTTAAATTAGGCTTGGGCCTGTCTTTTCCGATCAATTCGTCTCTTGTAATCCGGATGTCCAGCTGTCCATTCATCTCTTTGAGGGTCTTTCTGGGGGTCTTCTGGATATTGGTGGATCTATAATTCTAAAAATTTACTTTAGCTCCTACTTAGAAGGACCTACTCTAATGCTAAATTGACAAAGGTAGAAATTTCCGACGGTATCAGTTTTTCTTTTGTACTTGCAGCTCGACCTCTTTTACTGTCTTAGGTCCTGCTGGATATTAGAATTAAAGGTTCAACGTAGGGGCCGAATTTTCATCTCGGGATACGTCGCGTTAATAACCGAGCCCGGAATAATGTTTTTCGCGCACGGTGCGCAAGGAGACCCGCGATAGGGAGCGATCACAGAGTTTGCGAGTGCCCCGCGATAATTGCAATTTGAGTTTACCAGGAATGCCAGGATACCGTAATCGCTCGGTTATTTTTGGCCGAGCGGCGTGTGAGTGAGAGCCGGACGGTATAAATATTATTCCCTCCGTGTAATTTCGCGAAACCGCTTATCGCGTTCTCTCGCTTGTTTTTAATTTCGTCTTCGCGCGGAGAGACGTTAAGCTCCCCGAAGGTGCGGAGACGTTGAAGTCTCCCGAGTTTTCGGAAAATAATCCGCCGTCCCGGCGGAAACGTTTGCGACGATGCGTTTGTAAACAAAAAATTTGGACTGTTGGAGGCGCGTAACATCTTAATTTATTATTATCGATATTGTTCAAGCCTTCGTGCATCCGAGGGTTAATTCGATTAATTATTGTCTAACGAGGATTTAGCCCGATTTCACCCTTTCATCGAAACGTATACAAGTTCCGCGTGAAATTTAAAAGGACTCATTGATTGCATCGACAAAAACTGAAGAGCGCAGGAAAAAAAAAGTAGCCGTTGCGAAAGAGTTAATTTGATAATCGTCGTCGCGCCATTTACATTTCTCGGAAACGTGCAATTCTACTTTTCCGCGCGCGAGATCGAGCATCTCAAGACCCCCCCGGCCGGGACGATCTGACAGGCTAACGATCCACGTGTGACCACTTGAGGCCAGTTTTTCCACGAGGTTTTCTAAAGTGGCTCGCACCTCTCAGTTACGCCATGTGCAGGCGGTTCACTTAGGCTCAATAGACCCGTAAAGTGGCCGCTATTACAAACGGCGGGCACTTAGAAATCACGTGCGCGCGTGTACTCGCGGTTAAGCGAGTGCATCGCCGTGCAGTGGGCTGCTGCCAGCACGTGGCAGTGCGTGTCCTTGGCTGCCCGCATGCGTCGTCATCCTCCTGCGTCCGCGTGTCACGCGAGAACGTGCGATCCCGGGGAAATTCTCGACTCCTCCGCGTTGGCCGCGATCGCGATTCGACCGCGCGTCGTCGCGCTCAGCAGGTGCATTGTACTGGAAAGAGAGAGAAAAAGGAAGAGAGAAAGAGGGTGGGAGGGGGCGGGGGGGGGAAGACTGTCGCCGATATTGCGCGCGTTACCATACAAACGTAACGCTGAAGTAAAACTATCCGGCTGCGGTTTCACTACCTGGACAGGCGCACTTGCGATTGTGTCTATAAATAGACCCCCCTGGTACGACGAGCTGTGCTTTCTCCTGAAAATTCTCATATTTCAGCTTACTGAAATATGAATATGTTTCATGCAGCGACACGTCGCCCCACCGCTCTTCGGTTCTCGAGCACTCGTACGCCCGAGTCATTGACTCGTTGTCGCAACGAAACTAATCGAAGTCCATCGATAGCGATCGTCTCACCCCTCTCGACCGGCTCTGTTGACGAAATGAAGACAAGACGCCACGCGTCCTTCACCTGTTCAACAGAATACGGTCCCGCGACGTTTCGCACGCAAAACCCTACCCGATTGCCGTATTCTGCGTTTAACGATCGCCCCTTATCGTCAAATTATTTCGTAAAAGTTTCGTTTGGTATGTTTCTCTTTTACTTTAATTCTTTTTAGTAACAGAATACCCATGGCATACAGCACAGAAAGTTAAAATAATGTTGCTGAAACGTTGCAATGTTGAATGTCGAAGTATAAATATTTTTTCTAAGTTGAATCTAGGTTAATGCTTGTACATTAATTCTTTATGTTGCTGCAACGTTAAAGTAATCTTGAAATAATCGCGAAATTCAATGCAATTTACGTGATCGTAAGTCTCTGAGATTTTATGTAAAAATGAAACATTTTACTTTTAACCTTTTAATTCTTTTTAATTATTAACTTAACTTTTAATTCAATAAATTGTATTACGGATTAACTTGTGTCTTAACTAAGTTAAATTTTCAAGGCTGTTAGCTTTAACTTAACTTAGTTAAAGAAGGAAAGACAACTTACCCGACCCCGAGCACATGTAAGTAGGACTCGCACGGCCCGGGGTGGTCACAAAAAGGTTCCGTTGCAGAATATTTATGCACGCTCCGCTGATCGCTCTCATCCACTTTCCGGGGAAAACAAAATTAGGGGATGACCCTAATTTTCGTCGTTCAACTTTCGTCTTATTTGTCAGTTTAATTCGTCCCCGGTCCCTTTCCAACTGCCCTCGCGGGCCGCGAATTAAGATCAAAGTTAAACGACGTTGGTGAAAACCGCGGGTAAGAACCCGCCGACGTCAAGGTGCTGTTTACGATCTACGAATAGAAGAGATACATCGAGCGGGGGAACGTCCATAATCGTCGAACGATATCGAAATTGAGAATGGTGGAAAGAAACGAGGGTAGCAGGTCGCGTGGAGCGACCTCCCTATCTGCAAAAAAATACGACCGATATATCGGGCTGAGACAAAACAGGCGCGGCGATCAATTAAAGCCGCTAATGGGCCACACTTTGTCTTCGATCGGAATCACAGATCACTTGGCGTGATCCTTCCGCGTTTTTGCGCGCGGACCCCCGTCTCCCCCCCGGGGGGGGGGGGGGGGGATGTAATCGATCATCGGCGGCTCCCCCGTCGGTCTTCGATAACTCATTCAGAGATAACGGTTGTCTTCATTGATGCCGAACCGTAGCCGGCGGCTACTCCACTTTCGCTCACAAAACGCCGTCTCGCGCCGCGCACGTGATCGATAGTGGGGCTAAACAACATTTAATTGTATGTCTTGCAATTGTTCGCGAAACGCGATCTATTTACGTGTCACTCGAGCCTGAAACGCAATTCGCGGTCTCCTAGCGATTTGTTTACTTTTTCGTCGCGCGCCGTGTAGGAAGCGCAGTCGCTGCACATTTTCCGTCGCGCGATAAGCGCCTGTTATTAATAACTACAGCTGTTTACACGTGAGAAAAATATTTGTTTGCAATGTTTACGTAAGTTTCATAATACTGGCGCGTAATCATCCGTTTCAAACGGGAGGGGAGGAATGTCCCCCCCCCCCCCTCGGGGGACATTCCTCCCCGACGAATTAAAAAAAAAGAGAGAAAAATAACCAGTTCAACGCGCAATTTTTTTCCCCGTCCGTTCTGGTTTTTCGAATTTGCCGCTGCATCGAGCACCGTCACGGAGTCGGGCCCGGGTGATACAATAGCATAATGCGGTATCGCGTAGCTGTCTAGCCGTCTAGCGCTCTCAGTCCCGACCTGACCGATGGGCCTCGCTACAGGAGGGCGACCGAGGAGACAGCGCCCCGCTTGTCTTCGATAAAAGACAAAGGACAAGATCGCTTTGTTCGGGGACACGCGGTGACGGGGGATGAAACGCGGCTGTGTGAACAGCGGCGCGCGAAAATGGGTAGAACGGGTCTTCTGCCCTCGCGAGCCAGACGGCCGGGACGGCGGGTCGGGCCCGGCGCGGCACAAAAGGGGCGCGCGAAGTCCGTCCAGCACAAAAGAATATATTACGTTTATATTTGGGGAATGCGCCGTACCGGCTCATGTGCCGCGCGGCCGCGACGGCGGCGGCCAAGTGCGCGCCGATTCCCGGAGTGAGAGCGAATCGTCGCCGGCTTTCATCCCGCCACGTCCGCTCCCCGTTTCCCCGGCTTGCGGCCGAGAAGTGACGGTCCCCCTGCCGGCTCGAAAAAGAGCGAATTCGAAGTGTGTGCCATCGGGCACGGCGCGTCTGGCCGCTAACGATCCCTCTTCTCCTCCTGCGCCGTGTCGTCGGCAACCGGCGGGAGTCCCGTCTACCACCGAGCTTCTATTCCTCCTCCTCCTCCTCCTCCTCCACCTCCTCCTCCTCCTCTTCCTCCTTCTTCTCCTACCGCTTCCACTGCCTTCTCCCTCCTTATCATACCTCTCTCCCCCTGGTCCCTGAAATCTAGAACAAAAACCGCGTGGTGAGGCGGTCCGGTACCAGTTACATCGACGAACTCTGTACCAACGGAGGTCTTCTCAAGGCTTGAGGTCTCGTAACATTATTTCGCGATTTCTCGTCTCGCGGTCACGAGACGAGAGAACAATCGGGAAATCACTTCTCGAGACTACCGAACTCTAAGACCGCGACGCTGAGTCCAGGAGTCGAACAACGAAGGTATCTCTTCGGCAATCGCAAAGTCGTCCAGCCGGCGCGAGAATCGAATATAAACAATTTGATTTAAACGACAAATAAACGTGCACAACCGTCCAGTCGGCGAATACGACTCTCGGTCGGCGGGAGACTCTCAAGTATCGATACTTCTGAAGAGCCCAGAGAGAATCTTCGCGGCATCCTCCGCTTCGACGGTCAACCAAGACGAGAGAAAGAGAAAGAGAGAAGATGACGGTACTGGCTAATCGAGCGTTGAACGGAGCAGTACTTCTGGTCGCATTGGTTTTCTTCAACGTCCTGTACGCCATTGACGCTCAGGTCATCTACAAGAAATCGCACGTCCGGATGCAGAAGTTGTGCTCCAGAAAGCTGAGCGATGCTTTGTATACCGTGTGCCGGGAACGCGGCTACAACGAGCCGTACAACGACGAGGACGAGTTGGAGACCGATCCTGGCCCGGGGCTCGTCGAGGAGTGCTGTTATCATTATTGCACCATCGAACAGCTCGAGCAATACTGCAAGCCCCTTCCCGATGGCAAGCAAGACTCGAACTACGAAATGTGAGTGGCTGTTAATGCGTTCTTTTATGTTCTCGTTATTCCGCCCCCGTCTCATCTTTCTTCTTTCCTTTCTCTCT